TAGGCATGTTTTCTTTGGCTTGTTCAGGGCTTTAAAAGTTGGAACATTTTACTTAAAAACAACAACAACCTGGATTTGCAGCAGCACCTCTGGAGAGCTCAGAGGCTGCGACCTCACCAGGCCCGCATCCCAGCCTACAACCCAGAGTCAAGAACGAGCACTCCGCCATGAGCTCAAGGGGCTCTGATTCGTTTGCCACCAAGGATTCACAGGGCACCCATCCTGAGACAGGCACCACTCTGATACCTCAGACACAGCCGCTGCGGAGCTGAACCTTTGGGAGGATGAGCCCCCCATTCGTGGCATGGAGGTTTCCGCCATGAAGACGGAGTTGGCAACAACGAGGCTCTGCTCTGCCAGGTGGTAGGGAAACCTGTCCAGTATGGCATTCCAGGTGACTTCTAACGAGTATGACAGAGCTGACCACACTAAGGTGTGGTGACAGAACAGCCCAAGTCAAAAGAGGAAGTTGTGCACAGGCTTGGGAGTCTGAAGGGACACAGAATGCTGTATGGGTCATGAGGGAAGGGGGCAGAAACAGGACCACAGCGGCTTCTAATCTGGTTACAATGGGCAGGGTGCAGGATTTTACACAGAGGGAGTATGGTCTGTTTAACTTCAGTGAAGATTTCCAGGTGCTGCTCAGTGGAGAAAGAAGGGGACCTGTGGTCCAGATGAGAAATGCCCAGAGAAGGCTGGGAGCCAAGAAGCCAAATTGCTGCCACCAGGGGGAGACCCTAGGGTCAGAGAGGGGATGTGGGCCACCTGGGGAGACATGAAGTGTCCTTTGTCAGTTGGGTGACATTAAAGTATATTTACTCCGAAGGGACAAAGTGATGAATTTATGAGGAGTTCTCGCTGGGTGTAGTCAGTAACCTTGATACAGCTTAGCTGTCCAAAGAGCAAAGGCTTCTTAGCATCCAGTAGGACAAAGAAATGTGTTGGCCTGCAAAGGTTTGCATCTTCTATAGACTCACCTATTTTTAATTTACGGATGTATTCACATTCATACGTGCATGAGCACCAGAAAAGCACATGGCGGACAGAAGATGGTGTGTGCTCCTCTGGAGCGGAGTCCTACGCAGTCATGAGCCACCATGCGGGAGCTGGGAGCCAAACCTGGATCTCTGCAAGAGTAGTCAGTGCTCTTAGCCCCTGGGCAATCTCTCCAGCTCCAGTTTGTAGCTTTACAGGTGTGTGTGTGTGTGTGTGTGTGTGTGTGTGTGTGTGTGTGTGTGTGTGCGCGCGCGCGTGCGTACATGTGTGTGTGTCTGCATAGAGACCAGAGGTCACCATTTTGTGTGTCCATTTATTTATTTATTTGTTGACAGAGGCCCCCACACTAACTCTAGATCTCATCAATTAGCTAGATTGACCGGCCCAAAAGGCCCAAGTACCTTCCTGTGTCTGCCTTCTCGCAACGGGGTTACGGGAGTGCACCCCGCACTTGACCTTTTTAATGATGTGATTAGATTTTTTTATGTGATTAGAACTCAAGTCCTCATGCTTGCCTAGCAAGCACTTTACCCACCAAGCCATCCCTCCAACCAGAGGCCTGGGTCTTTGCACGCGTGGTTCTGAGCCGGGGAACGCGTGTGGACTTGAGATTTCCTCGTTTGGTCTCAAGAGCCTTGACTTTCCCGTGTGAGCCCTTCCCACTGCAGAGCACAGCGCGTTGACGGGGGGGGGGGTCATCAGTGCAGCGAAGAGCTTCATCTTCATCACTGTGTGTTCTGGGGACCCTGCTCAGAGCAGCCTCTGAGGGGACAGGGTCAGCAGGCTGCCTTGTGCAGAGCTTAAACTCTTCCCTCCGGAACGCTATGCAAGGGCAGGGTCTTCACCGCACAGGTCTTCCTGTATCTGCAGGTTATCGATGGTGTTACCCCAGTGGGCCGTCCTGAGGGTTCCCCCAGCTCTCCGGGGAAACCTGTGTCTAACTTGTCACTTGGTTGGTTACTTTTCCCATGTAAGCCTGACTCCCACCCAGTGTTGACAGCCACCTGGGGAACACAGATGGCTCTGCCCACTTGGCTGAATCTTTGTGCACTCAAAGGAACAGCTGGGACACTTGTGGGTTCCTAAAGCACACACATTAGATTTAGGAAGCCTGAGAGACAGGGAACCCTTCACCCACGTTAAGAAATGATGTTGGGGTAGCAGGGGGAGCAAAGACACTTGTCACCAAAGCCTAGTGGCCTGAGTTGATCCTTGGGACCTACATGGTAGAAGGAGAGAGTCAACTCCCCCAAGTCGCCCTCTGACTCTCATGCATGCACGTGTAAACAATAAATAAACAAATAAACAAATGTAAAGCATGTTTCAAAGAGAAATGGTGTAAGGGAAGAAACACAGAATGGAGCCCGTGTGAATCCAGACCTGCACACGAAAGCCTTTGGGCTGTGACGACGAGAGAAGGCCTGCTACAGTTGCCTGCAGGCACTCCAGGAAGTCTGACGTGAACTGTGGCTTTTTATAGGCTACCTCTGACAACGGTTTGTGAGAAAGCCTGCACTGTGCAAATTAACGAAGAGCCCTCAATGGTGGGGTGTGAAAGTCCACATGGCTTGGACAGTTAAGGCTCCTTCTGGCTTCCTTTCTCGAGAGTGCATTCTTCCCTAGTAAATCCTCTCGTTTTGCTTGCTGCTATCCACATCTCATTCCTTGTTCCAAACACAAGAGCCCGAGAGCCTCCGCAGGTGTCCACCAGCCCTCTGCATCCACCAATATCAACCGCACTATGCCTCACCTCATTCCACAGGTGCTCCAACCCATGGTCAACTCCTGCCAGGCTTCTCAAGACTCCCCTTTGAGACCTCAGAGGAAATCACAATACTACCACAAGGACTGCCTTCTAGCCTTGATGCCAAGGGCTAGCACCCACAGAAACTACACCCAGGCCTGTTTGACTGTGGGCCTTTTTCCAGTAGCTCTGATCACAGAAACTGGCTTCTGTCCACACTAATCTCTCCAGTAAGTACTTTCATAGCCACACCCTTACATTCTATTCCTTTGCTTCCTCCTTGGCCAGACTGAGAGTTTTTCAAATCTTTCCCTTAGGTCTTGAGTTTTACTGTAAATCTGACCAAACGCAGCCAGTAACGGCCATGCGGCAGTGAGACTCTTTGTGGATTTGAAATCTCATCTACCCAGTGTGGCGGTTTAAAAGAAAACGGCTCCCAAAGGGAGCGGCACTCTTAGGAGGTGTGGCCTTGTTGGAGGAAGTGTGTCACTGTGAAGGCGGGATTTGAGTTCTCCTATGCTCAAGCTGCACCTAGCGTTACAGGTTACTTTCCTGTTGCCTGCAGATAAGGACGTAGAAGTCTCAGCTCCTCTCCATCGTCTGCCTGCACATCACCACACCCCATCGTAAGGATAATGGACTAAACCTCTGGAACTGTGAGCCACCCTGATTAGACGTTTCCCTTTGTAAGAGATGCCATGGTCGTGGTGTCTCTTCACCGCAGCTGAACCCCTAACTGAGACACCCAATAAATGAGTCCATCATCTTTACACGTGGTGTCCCACAAGAGTTTAGGGCATGGACTCCACGCAGCAGGGCTGTTTGCTGCCATCATATAAGAATAACCCCCAGCCGGGCGTTGGTGGCGCAGCCTTTAATCCCAGCATTCGGGAGGCAGAGGCAGGCGGATCTCTGTGAGTTCGAGGCCAGGCTGGACCAACAGCCTCCGATACAATAGAGAAACCCTGTCTCGAAAAACCAAAAAAAAAAAAAAAAAAAAAAGAATAACCCCCTCCCCGTTTTCTAAGAGGCTCCCCACTTCCATCTAACTCTAACTCACTGGCTTCTTCTTCGCCCTCGTCAGAATTTGCCAATGATATTTGCCTTATGGCAAAACAAATTTTTCCCAACCTATTCCTCCAAACTCTTCTGACCTCTTCCCATTATTCAGTTTCAAAGTCGCTTCCACATTCTAGGATAGAGATATACTAATAACCTCATACACTCCCAGAGCAAACTGTCAGTATTCGTTTTCTAGGGTTTGTTTCACTACAATAAGATACCTGAGCTGAGTAACATTATAAAGAAAGCAGACTTATTTTGGCTCATGGCTCTGGTCCAAGGTCAAGAGTCTGTATTTGATGATAACCTTCCTGGCGAAGCCTCAGGCAGCACATGGTACCACATAACAGGAGACAGGACAAAGTCTGCAGCTGTCTCCTCTCTGGTCTCACCCTGTCCTTTCAAAGGATTCACTCATGGGGCCTCCGCACCGATAATCAACCTTATCTGCCTCTCATCACCTCCAAAGTTCATACCTCCAAATGCTTCAGTGGCATTAAGTATCTATCACTTTAATACCTCCCATCAGGAGTGAAATTTTGGTGCATGAACCTTGGAAGACATCACAAGGCCCTTCAAGGCATGTGCTCCTGGGAAGATGATAGCATAACCAATGTTTATGTTTATATTATAGAAGGTATTATAAACAATCTTTTGACATCGTGATGTGGCATTGGCATCTAGAAATGTGTGGGGCCTTGTTCACAGCTATCTTAGGGTGTATGTGGCTGATGGGCAGCACCGCGGACGCTCCTGGTAACAAAGGCAACAACCTCACACGTGTTCAATATAGGAGCTCCCCCGCTCCCCCTCAAGCACTTCCAATGCATGCTTGGGTGAACCCGCAAAGGCAGAGGCCGTGCATATGGAAGCCTGCTGTATCTGTCCCTTTCCCGTCTTCTCCTCATGCACTGCTGGAAGGGTGCCCAATGGCTGGGTAGATCGTTGGTCACTGACGAGCACCCAATGCCTAGACCAGGGCCCCGCATACAGCGAATGCTCACTCCTTACCTCCATGGAGCATGGCTGAACCATCAACAGAACAGGACTATGGGGCAGAGAGGTGGCTGGGGGAGAGGGATCCCCGTCCTTTACTTCCCCTCTCCCGAGGTACCAACCACATTTCACTGCTCACCCAGGACCAAAATCCACTCAGACGATAGGCTAATTATAGCCCCACCCCCCAAAAGCCACCTACCAAAGGGGGGCAGCAGCTCTGCTTCCGAGGGACAGACGTCTCTTTGCTGTGTCCTCCGGCCGTAGGTGGCCGAGTAGATGTTGAGGAACTTGGACTCATGGCAGTGCAGTTTCAGCTCCTGGTCTTCACACACGGTCTTGTTCTTCAATTCATCTGTAGAAGAAGCAGAAACCAGTGACAGATTGGCCGGGCTCAGAAGGAATGGCTGGGGACCGTCTAAGTCACAGCTGCTCAGCCTCTGTGGGCCTGCACCCCAAGAAGGGCATGGCAGGATGGCCCCGACTGCCTGGTGCTTTGGGCCCTGAGGGTTGGGGAGGGAGACCCCTTGCAGAAAGCAGGCTGGAAGCAAGCAGGGAATGGGTCAAAGACTCCTGGAGTCACACTTATGTGAAGGGGGGAGTTGGGGGGAGGCTTAAGGCAGGGGACAGAGGCAATCAGGTCCTGGGAAGTTTTCCTTGCTCCATTTTAGAGCAAAGATTCATTAATAGGAGGAAGCTCCCTGGTAAATGCTGGCTCATACAGCACAAGCCCTTGCCACCACCTCCATAACCACCTCCCTGCCTACCTGAGTCTGGTATACTTTGTTTACAAAGAATGCAGAATGGGGCTGGGGAGCATGGAGTTCAGTGTTTGCTTGCCTAGCATACATGAAGCCTGGCATGGAACCCCCAACAGCACACACATCAGTCCAGACGGCTCATGCCTGTAATCTCAGCCTGGGGGAGGGGAAGTTGGGAGTACAGGAAGCTCAAGATAACTCCCAGACCCCCCCCAGCTATCTAGCAAGTTCCAAGCCACTTGATATGTGAGACCCTGTTCTCAAAAGCATGGGTTTGGGGGAGCTGGGCGTGGTGGTTCCTTCTTGTAATCCCGACTCAGGAGGCTGAGGCAGGAAGATCTCTGTGCTACCACAATGAAATCTCTCTTTACAAATGTTATACAGTGCCGGGCGTCGGTGGCGCACACCTTTAATCCCAGCACTTGGGAGGCAGAGGCAGGCGGATCTCTGTGAGTTCGAGACCAGCCTGGTCTACAGAGCTAGTTCCAGGACAGCCTCCAAAGCCACAGAGAAACCCTGTCTCGAAAAACCCAAAAAAACAAACAAACAAACAAAAAAAAAAAACAAATGTTATACAGGGTTGATATTTTCACCAACTGCCAAGGTAAAAAGTCTTTGTATAAAAAAAATAGAGCCATCCAACTTAAACTTGTTTTATTGTGCGTGGGAATGAGTTTCACAATGCATTATGGCCAGCTGAGTGACCGTTCTCTCTTTCCACAATGTGAGTTCCAGGGTGATGGGGGACGTCCTTCTGTATATGTGATTCTCTTATTGGTTAATGAATAAATCACTGACTGGCCAGTAGAGGCAGGAAGACAGGCAGAGCTAGGAGACGAGGAGAATGCTGGAGAGAGACACCGGGAGGAAACACCATGTAAAGACCGGGAAGATAGGATGTGCCAGGCATTCTCTGGTAAGATAAGGCCATGTAGAAATACTTAATTAGTTATGGGTTAATAATTAAAAGAGGGCTAGCCAGTAAGAAGCCCTAACTAGCGGCCAACAGTTTATGTGTGCTTATTTGGGGCAAATCAACTGCCGGACCAGGTTAGAAAGAAACTCCAGCAATACCAGGAATTGAATCTGGGTCATCAGGCTTGACAGCAACTGCCTTCACCCACTGACCATATTGCTGATTCAAAGTTTATGAGACAGAGAGAGAGAGAGACAGAGAAAGGGGGAGGGAGTGAGTGAGGTAGGGAGGGAGAGATATCTTTCTTTTTGGAAACAGATAGCCCTGGCTGGTCTGGAACTCCCTTTGTAGACCAGGCTGGCCTGGAACTCACAGATATTCACCTGCCTCCCGAGCACTGGGATTAAAGGCGTGCATCTCTTTTGAAAAGTATTAATTTCTGACAAATCAGACTCAGGAGACGGTAGCATGTGAACCTACTTATACCACCTCTCCCTTTTATCCAAGGTTCCTCTCCGGGACTTGAGTTATCTACCATCAATCACAATTTAAAAGCATTGAATAGAAAATTGCAGGAGACTGCATGCATGCAACTTTTATTAGAGTTATTGATACTGCTATTCTACTTTATTATTGTCTAACTTATAGACTAAGCTTGGCCGTAAACACGCGTGTATGAGAAGAGACATAGCCGGGCTGGGGATGTGGATCTGAAGTAAAGAACACAGAGGACCCACGTCCGGTTCCCAGCAGCCACATCAGGCAATCCACAATTTCTCCAGGGGTATCCGACACCTCTGGCTTCCATGTACAACTGTATTCACAAGAGCACACCTGCCCGCAACACACACACACACACACACACACACACACACACACACACACACACACACACACGTCATTTTTTTTAAGTTAAATCTTTAAAAAATAAAAAAAGAATGCATCTTTTTTGGTTTGGAACATCCACTAGGATCTTGGGATGAATACCATACACAAAAAAAGGAACAACTATGCCTATGTATAGCTGTATATTATATATGTCATATATCAATAGTGGGATATGCTCTGAGAATGCGTCCTTGAGTGAACGCTGTGGAGAGCACATGCGTGAGTCTAGATGGTACACTCTATTGCATGCCTACGTTACTCGTTTGGGTTGTTTGCTGTGGTGCTAGGGGTAATCCCAAGGCCTCTTGAATGCTAGGTGCACTCTACGACTGAGCTATACTCACAGATCTACACACGTGTGCTGCATGGTGCAGCCTCCAGGCCCTGGGCTGCAAGCCAGCATAGCATGCTGCCATCCTGAAGACCAAGCCTACTGTAACACAATGCCAAGTATCTGTGTACTTAGCACTGAGCAACGCAGGACACGTGCGGTACAAATGTTAAATGACTGGTATTTTCAGTTCGGTTATAATCTTCTCAGGGCTACTGTCATGGATCTGGCGTGTCACCGAACAAAACTGCCATTACGTTGCATGGCCACATGTGAGACATCAAGAAAAGGCAAGTGTTTACAGGTGAATGTGGATGGGTGATTGACTGAGATTGGGAGTGTGGTCAGGAGAAGATGGAGGGAACTCTAACAGAAGACAGGAATGTTCAGAGGCTGGACAGTGGTTGAGAGAACACGGCTCTGTCGGCTTACTAAAGGCTGTAGAACTGTTCACTTGAAGTGGGAGGATTTCGTGCCTTATTAATTATACCTCAGCATACTTTAGAACTAGAGATAATTGGTACCGAGGGCTCCCCTCCACGTGGTCCTGTTCTAAGAAAATTAAGTGTAGTAATGGACTTCACGCAAAGCAGTCTTTTGATGTGCTGTCTTTTTGAAGCTTCCTCAAAGCCCAGGCAGCAAGAGTTAATGGCAAGCTCCCTTGACTGGCCTGGGCTGGCCTGGGCTGGCCTGGGCTGACTTGGGCTGGTTGGCTGGAGGGAACCAGCTTTCCCAAGAAAAGTCTTGCTTTTAACTTCCTGAGCTCACATTCATCTCCCACACTGCCTGATTCCGTGTCCTGATATGCCTCAAGGCTGGGTTCTCTCAAATGTGGTCCGAGACTTTGAAACCAGGTTAGTGAATTGTGACCAGCAAATTTAAAAAATACAGACCAGCTGGGAGTCGTGGCACACAGCTACAGCCCTAGCCCCCTGGCAGCCCCAGGCAGTTTGAGGCCAGTCTGGCTACATAGTGAGTCCCATCTCTTCCTTCTCTCCAGGAAGAAAAGAAGAGGAAGACAAAAAAGAACGACTAGAAATCATCAAAGGCATAAAAGGGAATTCCATGAGAATAAACAGGGCTGTGACTTCCAAAGATCATCCTCCAGCGGTCTTCACGTGAGTGTACGTCACGTTGGGCCAACGCGTACAGTGTTTTTCTTACTGTGGGTTGGAATCCAAGTGGTTTGGAAGCTCCCACCGTAAGTCTTCCAGAAAAGTACATGCAACACACACCAGAGCTAGGACAGCTGGGTGACCCTTGGCAGAACCGACAATTCGTTAAAACATGAAAGGGAAGAAACCCAGCGATGAACCCCACCTTCCCATGACTTGGGAGCTCCCACGGGTCTTCACCAAAAACCCGAAAGACACGGCCTGGGCGCACAGGCAGGAAGACACCTCAGATCTCAGGATGCCCACCGGCTGCAGCGGTGAGCCCTGGCGCTGGTTTTTAATATAGTCAACCACGCTCCCCCTGCAGGTCAGTTTCTGTGATTTTAGGTAATCCACAGCCAGTCACAGCTTGAGAACAGTAAATAGAAAATTCCAGAAGTCAACAATCCCTAAATTCTAAGCTGTCCCTATTCTGAGTAGTGTGTCATTCTCTTCGGCAACTGGGTTCTGTCCACACAGACGTGAGCCTTCCTTTGCCCTACAGATGCACCCTGTGTATGCCAGAAGCCTGTTAGTCAGTCACCTGGTTCACTGTCTTAGTTATCAGAGCCATTGTCGAAGGATTCATCTCGAATAACCCTGATTTTACTTCCTGACAGCCCAAAGTACAAGAATATTAATTACGATGGCAATTTTATTATAACCATGGTTATAACTTCTGTTTTATTATTGTTGTTATAGATCTCTTACTATGTGCCCAAATTAAACCTTATCATGGGTGTGTAACTATATAAAAGTCATAGGATAGCTAGGGTTTGATGGTACCTGTGGCTTTAGGGAGCCACAGGCCCTCTTGGAATATGTTCCCTTTGGATAAGGTCAGATGATTATATGTATATCTATCTATATCTATTATATATGCATATGCATATATATATGAACGTTCTAGGGCTATGGGCCAGATATAGGTAGTTATGAATGCAGCCGACAGAAAATCACAACTTCCTTTGTAGATGACAATGTCATGCGGCAGTCTTAAAGGCTTGGGCACTCCTGTGAGAGAGATCAAAATGCAATGGAGCAGAAGCCAGGCTGTCAATGCTCACAAGATCCTTGCCCCTTCTGGTCATTTGACATACAGGAGAGCCGGTGAAGCAGGACAAAGGAACCCGGTGTTGCAGTAATTATTTAAAAGACCCTTGCAGGTAGATTCAAGGAAAAGGTTGCCATTTTCTACATAAAAAGATGGCTGAATCTGCTTGTGACTTTGGGGTGCTTGTGTTTTTCGGCCACCCAAGTCTGTAATCCTGGTGTTGTGTCTGAATAGATGCTCTGTCTCATCAACGCTGACAGTTCCCCCGACTTCAAAGACCCAAGGTGACAACAGCATAAAACCAGACTCAAAAGAAACACCAGTGGCCTTTGCAATCAGGAGAACACCTACGTGTTCAGAATGCCTATTGGGGCAGAGCGCCTCCAAACAGGGGTGGCAGGAGCCGGGTCAACTAGACTTCTCAGCAAACTTGAACTCTTTTGTTAGTTTGGTCTCTATAGCTTGAGATAATTACTCTGTAGACCAGGCTAGCCTCAAACTGAAGATCTTTCTGCCTCAACTTCCCAGGTGTTGAAATCTTGGGTCTGTGTCAGCATACCCAGATTTAGAAACATGTAAGAACAGGACTAGCTCTCTCTTTCTGTCTCTCTGTCTCTGTCTCTCTGTCTCTGTCTCTGTCTCTCTCTCTCTCCTTAAATCAGCATTTTAAATTATTACAAAGTGTTTATTTGCTTACTTAATGTACGTGAGTGCTTTGCCTGCATGTATGTATGAGCAGCATGTGTGAGTGTTTTACCTGCACGTATGTATGAGTTCCACATATGTCCTTGGTGCCCGCAGAGGCCAGAGGAGGATCCCGTGGTACTGGACTTACAGACAGTTGTGACTCTCCATGTGGGTGCTGGCAATTGAACCCAGGTCCTCTAGAAGAGCAGCCAGCACTCTTAATTGCTGACCTATTTCTCCAACCTAAGTTATTATAATATTTTAAAGCACACCGTGGAATGAGTACTAGCCATCTCTCTTTGAGTAACAAAAGCTCGTCCACCCAGTGCCAGCAAAACCCACCTAAGACGACAGGACACCATGTGTAAGGCCTCCAGACCCCCTCCCCACCACAGATGTGTACCGCATTGCTTCCTGCTGTGCTGTGCTGAGTCCTAGATTCCCTGAAAATGTGCTGTCACCTAAGAGCGTGTTTTGGGGGGTTCTAAAGGAGAGGGAACTCCTAACGTAACTGTTGCTTTCTAGGAGGAGCAGAGCTCGGTAGGAGCTGGGGTAGCGCTCTGAGCTGCCCAAGGGTGTCACCAACAACACCTCTGCTGAGAGAGCGGAGTCGGGACTCTGCTGAGATGCAGCAGCCATGACTGCAGCTGAGAATCTCTGCCGCGTACGGGGCCCTGCTGGGTTTCCCCTTTTCTCCTAACAGTACACACAGAGTCCTTGACCTGCAGAGAGCTACGTCCAATTAAACCCACGGTGAGTTGCAAAGCTGTCTCGTTGGAAATACGGGTTTTCACATGAATTAAAAAAAAAAAAAACTAGATTGAATGCACTTAACACACCTAAGCTACAAACACATCATAGCTTCCCCTGGTAGTCAAACGATCAATTGGAGGGGTCAGCGAGAGGAAAACCTCCCTTCCGCCTTCCAAAATGCCGCAACTCTGACTGCTTAGGACGGGGGTCACACAGCAACTCGATGCCTCATCTGCTCTCCACCATTTCTCCCTGGGGCAGCCAGGGAGGGCTTTGCCTACACCACACCACCCTGTGTGAACACGGCCTTGGTTTGTCCCCTCCAAACCCATGCTGTCCAGTCCCCACCAGTAAGTGTCAAGAGGGTGGAAATTCTCCCTAACTTTGGTGTTTAGAGATGGGACTTTCAGGCGATTAGGACTAGAAAAGGTTGACCAGGTTGGTGGAGAACGGGGAGGGGGCATGCCCATTTCCTCTGTCTCCAGGCCACGGTAGTCAGGCTCTCACCACCTCCAGTTGCTACAGTCTGAACAACTGATTCTGAAAGGAGTGTTTGCTTTCATCATGGGGGGGGGGCTCGAGAGAAAGAGAGCGAATCCAATGGCACTAAGGGCACAGTCACAGGCATGCTTTTCAGTGTCAGCGGCAGGAGGCCCGTGAAGAACGCAGAGACCCCCAAGCCAGGGTCCTGATCCGTTGGCCCAGGCAGGGGTTGTTGGGATGTGGTGGGGGAGGGGGAGGGGGCATAGAGGGATGTTCGGCTGCTCTTCAATGTTTAGGCCTGTTTTGGGCTATTTACGTTTGTGTGTGTGTGTGAGGCAGGTGCAGTACCGAGGGGCAATTCTATCGTGTGTCTGCTGTCTCTGGGGAGGGTGTTGGAGAAAACTCTGAGGTCTGGGGACTGCCTCCCCAACATGCAGTGGGGCAGAGGGGTGTCCCCTGGGGTCCCATGTCCTCACCCCCAGCACCAGACTACCAGTGTCCAAGAACCGACAAGAGCACAAAATGCAGAAAGAAAAACAGTTGAGTTGCGGTGGCAGAGGAAGTTGTAAAAACTATTAAATCCTGACATGCGACCACGTACTAGTGCTATAATTTCTTTTCAACGAGTTGTTCGAGCAAGCCTGCTGGAGAGACAAACACTGCGTGCAAGAACCCTAGCTGCTAATTTCTGTGTGTGTGTGTATACATGGGTGTGTGTACATGGGTGTGTACGTGGGTATGTGTGCATGGGTTGTGTACATGGGTATGTGTACATGGGTGTGTGTACATGGGTGTGTGTACATGGGTGTGTGTACATGGGTGTGTGTACATGGGTGTGTATACATGGATTGTGTACATGGGTGTGTGTACATGGGTGTGTGTACATGGGTGTGTGTACATGGTGTGTGTACATGGGTGTGTGTACATGGTGTGTGTACATGGGTGTGTGTACATGGTGTGTGTACATGGTTTGTGTACATGGTTTGTGTACATGGGTGTGTGTACATGGGTGTGTGTACATGGGTGTGTGTACATGGGTGTGTGTACATGGGTGTGTGTACATGGATTGTGTACATGGGTGTGTGTACATGGGTTGTGTACATGGTATGTGTACATGGGTGTGTACATGGGTGTGTGTACATGGGTGTGTGTACATGGGTGTGTATACATGGATTGTGTACATGGGTTGTGTACATGGTGTGTGTACATGGGTGTGTGTACATGGTTTGTGTACATGGTTTGTGTACATGGGTGTGTGTACATGGGTGTGTGTACATGGGTGTGTGTACATGGGTGTGTATACATGGATTGTGTACATGGGTGTGTGTACATGGGTTGTGTACATGGTATGTGTACATGGGTGTGTACATGGGTGTGTGTACATGGGTGTGTGTACATGGGTGTGTGTACATGGGTGTGTATACATGGATTGTGTACATGGGTGTGTGTACATGGGTTGTGTACATGGTATGTGTACATGGGTGTGTACATGGGTGTGTGTACATGGGTGTGTGTACATGGGTTGTGTACATGGGTGTGTGTACATGGGTGTGTATACATGGATTGTGTACATGGGTGTGTGTACATGGGTTGTGTACATGGTGTGTGTACATGGGTGTGTGTACATGGGTTGTGTACATGGTGTGTGTACATGGGTGTGTGTACATGGGTGTGTGTACATGGTTTGTGTACATGGGTGTGTGTACATGGGTGTGTGTACATGGATTGTGTACATGGGTGTGTGTACATGGGTTGTGTACATGGTATGTGTACATGGGTGTGTACATGGGTGTGTGTACATGGGTGTGTGTACATGGATTGTGTACATGGGTGTGTGTACATGGGTTGTGTACATGGTGTGTGTACATGGGTGTGTACATGGGTGTGTGTACATGGGTGTGTGTACATGGATTGTGTACATGGGTGTGTGTACATGGGTTGTGTACATGGTGTGTGTACATGGGTGTGTGTACATGGTTTGTGTACATGGTTTGTGTACATGGTTTGTGTACATGGGTGTGTGTACATGGGTGTGTGTACATGGGTGTGTGTACATGGGTGTGTGTACATGGTTTGTGTACATGGGTGTGTGTACATGGGTGTGTGTACATGGGTGTGTGTACATGGGTGTGTGTACATGGGTGTGTATACATGGATTGTGTACATGGGTTGTGTACATGGGTGTGTACATGGGTTTGTGTACATGGTTTGTGTACATGGGTGTGTGTACATGGGTGTGTGTACAGGTGGGGGGGTTCAGGAAGTGAAGGAAAATGAGTGACAGAAGCCAGGTGACATGACGGTGGCAAGGGGACCGATGGGGGTGGAAAGGGAGAGGGGGACAAGGGATGGGGAGGGAAGAATTGGGATAGGATCAACCAAAACGACGCCTGAAAACGCCATTACTTTCTGTGCTGTTTTAAGACAAACTAAGAAAAAGGATGTCCGTTGTGCCCGATCCCCTGCAGTCTGTTGCAGGCGCTTCCCGGGTGCCTAGAAATGAGGCCTGTTCCTTGGAGAGGGCTCACTTAGGGCTTGCGCCAGTGTGCATTAGGGATGGATGGTAAACGTCAGCGGAGGAAGCACAGGGACCAGGATGGAGGAGATTGCTCAGCACACCCTGGTCCACAAGAGTTCATACACTAGGGAGGTGGTGCCTGCCTATGCTGCTGAGCCTGGGGGGAGGCCACGCCTCATAATGCGACCCCCTTTGGAAAGCAGGATTTGTCCCTTGCTTTGAGGGACGCCCCTTGCATTTCCTCCCCCTGTGGGTACTTTTAACATCAGTGCAGTGGAGAAAGGTTTCTACGAGTGTGGATTTGTATGTAGGAGCACACACATGCGTCTCTCTGATGTTTCTATTGAGGGATTTGAGGTTAGGTGAACACCATGGACTTGTGTCCCTGAAACTAGGGGCCAATCCCAAACACACTGTCCCCCCCCACCACCCTCGGAAGTTACTTACTAGGTTGGCATTTAAAGGAGACCAGGAGGTATTTACTGCTTCCCGGACAAAGGTCAGGTCCGAAGACGCGGCTATTGACCAGGAGGTGGCAGGCCCGCTGGTTCTGGCACTCGTCCAGCACCTTCTGGAAGGAGGGTAGAAAAGCAGAGGCTTGCAAACCGCACGGTGTCTTCTGGACCCCAAGCCCTGGTTGTTCTGGACTCTGGGGGCATGAGGCGTCCCTGTCTGGCCTGAGTTGCATCTGGGATGGAAACAGCTATGGATGGAAGGCGGCTCCCTATAACTTTTAGAAGAAAGAACTGTGGTCCAGAAAGCCAGGCCCACGGGAGAGCTGCTGTCAACCAGCTGCAGTGGCACTACAGCTCATCTTAAGAAGGTCCATCCCTCAGAGGCTCTAGGGCACATGAGTGATATCAAGACACCTTTGATTGGTCAGCTGGAGGGCGCTTCAAGCTTTAGAACTGAGAGAGCCACAATGGCCAGGAATTATGGCCACACCTCCTTACCTTTAGGAATGGCCCCACACAGGCCCCAGGAACTTGGGAAAGACTTCAAACACCCACACTTTCTCTACCAAATGAAATAATTTAAAGCTGACTTCCACACTTGACAACCTCGGGGGGCATGGGCCTATGACTTTGCTGCTTGGTGATTACTGTCTGTCTGTCTGTCTGTCTGTCTGTCTGTCTCTGTCTCTCTGTCTCTATCTCTGTCTCTGTCTCTGTCTCTCTCTCTCTCTCTCTGTCTCTCTCTCTCCCTCCCTCTCTCTCTCTCTGGAAGCTTGTGGAACACCACTCTGGCCTATGGCTGGCAGAGAAAACTCTACACAGAGTAAACTCAGGTGCTGGCCTTGGTTCTGATGAAAGAGAGACAGAGACCAAAAGAGAGAAAGTTCCCAAGAGTCTACTCTTACTTTAGGACTGCCTGCCATGCAGATCTTTTATTTTATTCTGAGTTACCGTGCTCTTATAACAGCTCAGGGAATATTTATTTCCATGAAGGATGTTGGTCCTACCATGTCACCTACCCTGCCATGTGGATCTGTCACTCAGAAAGAATTCCCAGGGGAACCTTTACACCCGTAGCCCAGCTCTCAGATGACGGCACACACTGGCATGGCTAATGGTCTTGGTAAACCACACAGCCTCTGGGTGTTACTCTAAGGCCCTCCCATCACCTCCTCAGGGCAGGCTCAAACCATGTTACTAACAGCAGAATGCAGACAGGAGCCATGGTAGTTACCTTGGCAGATGTTAACCCATTCCTACCATAAATACTACTGCCCCTCAGGACACAGACTGACTCAGCAGCCAGTGTGGCGTGAAGTCCCAGGGGAAGGGACCTCCTGTCTGCTGAGTGACAGGGCCATGTGTAGGGATGCTTCTGGCGAGCTAACCCTCTGAGCAGCATCAGAATTGTGTTCTCAGATGCTGACATGACAGTCTAAGTGGAACTTCCTCTTCCCTCAGGGCACCAGGCTGGAGCAGGCAGGCCATTCTTTCACCAGATAGATCCGCCCTCTGGGTGCCCGCAGGCCAGCACACTTTTTATGCGCCCTGGAGGGCAGTGGAGAGCCTGGGCACCTGGATTGGGTGAGGAGGAAGTCAGGTGACCAGCAGGAGTATGACTCTTAGAGGGGGGGCCCCCGAAGGGAGAAACTGAGGCAGGGCGGGTACTCAAAGACACTACGCTTGACTTCCAAAGAGACATGTTGTTGCTCATCACAGGGTGGAAGCCATGTCAAGGGGATTCAGCCCAATGCATTCTTTTGTGCTGTTTACTAATGACATGACTACCCACACGCTATAGTTTTTTTAGACTGAAAGAAAAGTAGTGTGATCTCAGGACAGCAGCCTCCAAAGCCACAGGGAATCCCTGTCTCAAACCACCCTCCAGAAAACGTAACATGAAGAACAGAAAAATCTTTGCACCATCTAATAGTTTTGCTTCTCTGTGGGCACAAAAATAATGTACGGAAGTCTCCTTAGTCCCTCTGAAAAATTTACCTTCATCTACATATTCTATGCTGATCATAATCAAACCGACATCTACCTTGATGACAGCCACTTGGTGTAAGGAACGTGAGAGGCGTTAAAAGTCACCATAAAGCACAGGCCAGCGATATGGTAATGTTGGCCAGGTAGCTGACATGACAGATTATAGATTGCTTGGATAGGGTTGGCTATAGTGGCGCAGGCCCGTAATCCCAGCCTCTGCACACAGACAGCAGGACGGAAGGTTCATGTCTACCTGGGCTGCAAAGCAAGCCCAAAGCTAGCCAGGGAAACTGAGGAAGACACCGTCTCAAAAGTGAAAAGGGCTGAGACTATAGCTTGCCCAGTGGCATGCTGCTTGCCCGGCATGCAGGAGGCCCTAGGTTCAGCCAATCCCCAGTAATGGAAAAGCCTGCGTGTATAACTGACAACCTCAGTCTAAACCCACCAGTGATTTGACCTCTGTATGTGCCAACTTTCCCCAAGTGTGCCCAAGGAGAGAGAAGAAGGTAGGGGGGAGGAGAGTGGGGAGGAAAGAGGAAGAGAGAGGAAGAGGAAGAGAAGAGGAAGAGGAGGAGGGGAGGAAGAGGAGGGGGGAGGAAGAAGTTGTACTATTCAGAAGTTGCCAATACCACCCAAAATATCTCTAATGAGAACACGATGGTTGTCTACAGGCAGGGAACAAAGCCACGGGACATGGAAGACAACAGTTGCTAAGTCTCTCGGGCTCTGGTCTAAGAAGTCCACCGTGACTGCCATGGCTGGCATCAGAGTCACAGGGTTCCCCCTGGGGCATTTATCAGTCCAACACAGCTGCTCTGCTTCACCACAGCGGAGTGTGCCTGTGGCTCACTCCACATGGAAGAGTACTGAGGGAATGAATGCTTCATCTCTTAGCGGTTCCGTTTGTACCGCGTGGCAGAGACCTTTGAGAGGCAAGAAATACTCACCGATAAAAATTAGTGATGCCACAGCAATTGGGGGTTTTCACAGGATTTTGCTTTGAATGGACCACAGAACCACACGTAAATGAACACGGAAAAAGAGCGGGGAAGAGAGGGAAAGGGAGAGAGAGGAAAGAGAGGGAAAAAGTACTTCGTGATTTTTATCACGTCCACGAAAGGCAATACCTGCAAAGTGGTGGGCGCCACACAGGTCAAGTTGTCTTCCCTCTGGGAGGTGGGCTCCTGGGAACTACACATTTGGTAATCTTGCCCATAAAATGCCGACTGGACACTTATTGTAGAATGCCGAGGGCACTGTAGATTCAAATAGTCCCCGTCACAGGCATAGGCGGTGTGGTTTTGCAGGAGTTTGGTTAAGTAACCTGGAAAATATTCAGCTGGGTTACGGGAGCGCCAGGAAGCCCCCCCTTCCCATTCCTGCTTAGATTCTGGAGCAAGGAGATGCTGGCATCCCTGAGGCAGGGCCAGCTGGGTTAGGAAGGTGAGGGGTGCAGCTTCTGAGGCAGATCTGAGGCAGGTGACCAGTGAGGTCACGGGGGCAGTGGGGCCAGATGCTGGCTTTCCTGTGTGAACCAGGTTCCTTGGTCCCTGATCGCCTGGTGCTCCATCCCTCCAGGCAGCACACTAAGGGATTGGCCATGAGCCCAAGGAATCCGGGAGAGCTTCTGCAAAGCAGGGACTCTGCTGAGTGGGTGTCCCTGGGCATGTGGACACCCGTTCCGAGGAAGAATTGACTTTTCTGGTCTCCGGGACTTCCTGAAGTAAGAGGTGCCAATCCAACTTCAGGAAGCCACTCCTGGGCCTGCCTCACCCCAGAGAGGGAAGCAGCGGGGAGGGCTCCCTGCATAGGGTAAGGCTTGCCTGGAAGATGCTGGGGGAGGGGGCTTAAGGTGGGGGGAGGGGTGACCAAGGTGGTGGGGGAGGGCGCTAAGGCGGATCTTTGTTGTGGACTGAGTAGTGAGTGTGTCTTCAGATTCCTATTGTGCCTCATGAAGTTACTTCGTTTGAAAACAGGAGTGCAGGCAGAATTAGTTGAAGGGAAGGCATACTGAACTGGGGAGACTCCTCAATGCCGTGTGATTAGCATCCCCACCAGGAAAAAAGAAAGAAGACAGAAGACAGTGATGTGAAGACCACCAAGGCCAGCAAGCCACCAGTGGAAACCGAGGGGTGCAGGGAAGGCCTTAGAGGGCTCTGCTTATGCCTGGACGTCAGACCTCTGGGACTACAGGAGTAGCATTTCTGACGTACACAGCCACCCCGTCTGGAAATCGTCCCAGGAGCCACATGCCGGTCTCTGCACCCCAGCCTCCCCAATACTTCTCAAGCAGTTATAAGAGCCAGGCTGGACCAGGGCTCTGAGAAGGTCTGAGGACCCGTAGGCTGGCAGGTCTAGAGCATGGGCCAGTTCTCAGAAATGAGGAAGTAAGTTCTGGCCAGAATGTATATTTCTCTTCCTCCTTCTCACACCTCATGAGGTCAACAGCAGGGCTGCCGGGAGCAGAGTCAGGGACTTTTTGTTGAGGTGTGTGTGGGATGCGCTGGGCAGACGTTAGGGGAAGGAGGGCAGTCCCAGAAGTGTTTGATTCCCACACAGACGATCCACGCCTATGTGAGTCCCGTCCCGGTTTCAAAATCCCTCAGAAGTATAATTCCTGACGGAAGGTACCTGGGCTTTCTGGAAGCTCACAGGCAAAGAAGTGAGGTAGTTTGGCCTAGAGTCACCCCCTTCATACATGAGTGCTCTGAGGAAGGCTGCCTTCAAGCCATGAGCCCAAATAAACTCTTCTTCCTTGAGTTGATCGGTGGCCACAGCAATAAAGAAACTCACAGAGGCGTATGTGCGCATGTTCTCTCTGTTTCTCTCTCTCTCTCTCTCTCTCTCTCTCTCTCCCTCTCTCTCTGTCTCTCTCTCCCTCCCTCTGTGTGTGTGTGCATATGCAACGCACATGTATGAGTGCATGTATGTGTGCTCACATGTACATGGAGGCCAGAAATCAACCTCTGTTGTCTTCTCTCTCTCTTTCTGTGTATGTGTGTGTACATGCATGTGTATGAGTGCATGTACATGTATGCATGTGTGCTCACATGTACATGGAGGCCAGAAATCAACCTCTGCTGTCTTCTGTGTGTGTGTGTATGTACATGCATGTGTATGAATGCATGTACATGTATGCATGTGTGCTCACATGTACATGGAGGTCAGAAATCTCCTCTTGGGTGCTGTCCTTTTTTTTTTTTCACTGAGAAAAGGGCCTCCATGGCCCACAGCTCTCCAAGTTAGCTAGTCTAGTGAGATGTCCAGGCGATCTGCCTGTCTCCATCTCTCCGTCACTGGAATTACAAGGGGTCTCTACCACGCCTGCTCAGAATTTCTTCATGTGGGTTCTGGGAATCACGCATGCACTTACTGCCTGTGTCAGGTAGGGTTTCTGTTGCTGTGAGGAGACACCATGGCGACTCTTACAGAGGAAAGCATTTCATTGGGGTGGCTCACAGTTTCAGACGTTCAGTCCATTGTCATCATGGCGGGACATGGTGGCGTGCAGGCAGACACAGCGCTGGAGAATCCTACATCTTGACTTGAAGGCAACAGGAAGTGGTCTGTCTCACTGGGAGTGGTTTGTGCATGAGACTCAAAGCCTGCCTCCACAGTGACACACTTCCTTCAACAAGGCCACACCCTCTCCAACAAAGCCACACCTCCTAATAGTGCCACTGGGTGCTCTTATAGGGACCAATTGAATTCACACTACCACCCTGGTTGAGGTAGCTTTCAGCTCCTCTGCTGTTTTGAGACCCTGAGTTTGTGCCAATTTGGTCTCTACACGTGACTGTCGGGATGACCTGGTTCACATGAGACACAGAATTATAGATTCAAGAACCGTTTTTAAGGAAACATTTTTTTAAAAAAATATGTTTGGATTAAAGTCAGGAGAAGCCTATGCATGTATGTATTTGTATATATCAATGTATATCAAATGAGTTCTAGATCATGTGTAAGTTATATTTCTCACTATGAGTTGTGGCCAACAAATTTTAAAGGGAATATTGACAAGAGACTGCTTGAAATGAGGGCGCGTGGGTCCCAGTGTTGATACAGTAAAGGAAATGAGCGCAGGAGAGGGATATAATCCAGGCAGTTGAGATCCTGCCGAGAAGGACGGAAGCTCAGAGGGCAATCACACCCGTGAGCGGAGAAGTCCTTTGAGAGCAGAGCGATGAAATGTCCCAGAAGGGACAAGAATAGGGCTCAGTGTGCACAGGTACTTGCCACCAACCCTGACAACCTGAGTTCAAGTCCTGGGACCCACATAGTGGAAGGAGAAAACCAATTCCACAGCTTGTCCTCTGATTTCCACAAAGGCCAAAGCAAAAATGCACCCACACAGGTACACACACACACACACACACAGAGGTACACACACAAGTACACACACACACATACAGAGGTACACACACAGAGGTACACATGCAGGTACACACACACAGGTATGCACACACACAGGTATGCACACACATATACACACACACAGGTACCACACACACACAGGTACACACACACACACACAGGTACATGCACACCCACACAGGTACACACACACATACACAGGTACATGTGCACACACACAGGTACATGCTTACACAGGTACACACACACACACAGGTACCACACATACACACAGAGGTACACACACACACACACAGGTACATGCACACCCACACAGGTACATGCTTACACAGGTACACACACACACACACACACACACACACACTGGAGAAATGCAATGCTAATAGAAAAAGAAATATCCTTGAGCAGCCACAGAAGAGAAACAGAAGATGATGTTTCTGTACTATTCTGGGGATCTCCTGTGCACCAAGCACACCTCAAAAGAAAGCGTAGTAGGGCAGCAGCTGCCAAGGCTGTCCCTGAGGGCATCGCTTCTCTGGGGTGGGGGCGAGCCCACTCTTTCCAGTGTGCTGGTCGCCACTCCTAGCCCCCAACGCCCTGCTGGTTCCAAAGACAGTGTTGTCTAAGCATCCGTAACCCCTCCCCCCGACCCCCACCGTTGGTTGTGAGCTCTCTCTGGGCCATACTGGATGAGTCAGATGCTTAGGCAGGAATTTCACAATCTAACCCTGTTTACCATCTCGGGATAAGACCGAAGCCAACTGTTCAGTTTTGGTTCTTGAGACAATTCCTCAAGTAGCCCAGGCTGGCCACACAGATGTTGAATTCCTGATGCAAGTGCCCATCACAGCGGGCTGCCGAAATGAATGACTGCTTGTTTTGATCATTTTATTTGATTATTTTTTTTGTGTTGTGACAGGGCCTCTTACACCGTGTCCCAGCAGCCTGCCCCATAATCTACCACATTGCCCGGGCTGACCTGGAATTCATGGCAATTCTCCTGCCTCAGTTACCCAAAGCTTGGGTTTATGTGTGTGAGGCACAAAGCCCAGCATGAGCAGGCTGCATGTGCTTCTTGGAAATCTGTCTCAAAGTCCAGTGTTACCTGAGACACTGTGCTGGTCAAACTGCTGGGCAATCGTGAGGTGGGTAAAGACCTTCCTGTCAGCTCAGGTGCCGGGACACATCCTGTGGTTATGCCCATGTTCTCTTCCCTGGCAAGTGGCCACACTCAATTGTCAGAACTCCAGGATCTTCCCAGCCCACATCTTCCTCAAAAGAACATCAAACGGCTGGGCCTGGGGAGAGCTCAGAGGAGACTAGATGATGCATTTTTATGTTTTCCTTTTATAAATAAAGATGAGGAGCTTGCGGAAGAATGGGTCCCTAAAGAGCAGTGGGAGCTGGGAGCTGCCTTCCATCTTTGGAAAGATGCAGAGGAAAGAGATAAGATGGCTCAGGCAGTAAACATGCCCACCCTAACGCCTAACGACCCCAGTTCCGTGCCCAGGGCCCACGCGGTGGCGACTACCAACTCTTCCGCGCTGTCCTCTGAGGCCCACGTAAGTGCCCCAGCCCCTGTGTGCCCCTCACCCACAAGGAAATAAATGCGATACAATGTTTCAAGCGGGGGTTTGAAGAAGTCGGGACTAAATTACGGAAAGCCATTCTCGAGAGCACGCTCATCACACTGACAGCGAAACTCACCACAATACAAACAGTGCAGCGACCAGAGACCAGAACCGTGAAAAATGGCTGGTTTCTAGAGAAACACAAGTGTCCCTCGACAGCAGCAGGTGTTACATAGGGTGAGAAGGAAATCTCACGTCTAACCGGCATGGTTGCAGAGTCCCATAAGGCTGCAGGATGCTCGGGAACAAGCCAGTGAAGGTGGGAGGCAGGCAGAGGATTAGGGCAAGTCCAAGGTTCAATTGGTGCTCGACTCTGAGG